ATATATATATATATATATATATATACACACACACACATACATACATACATACACACAAAAATAATAAATACTGCACTTACATAATTATACAATATTAATAGGTAATTACATGTGTGCAATTATTATAATTAATAAAGGTGTGTATGCACATAATAATATTCTGTTAAAGTATTATTAGAACAGAAGGTCCAGTAGCTTCCTATGCTCGTGTAGTAAAGGTCTGATGGAGTGAAGTGTGCAGTGATGCTGCCCTCTGCTGGTAGTGCACACTACAGCACACTTCACCTGAGCTCACCACAGATGTTTATTTCCTGTTTCTGAAATCAAACAAACTCTGGGAACGATTAAACATTAGTGCAGCAGCAGGGCATCGAATCAAACACAATCAGCCCAATAACCTGCATGAGTGAATATGGAGTGCATATGGAAATGAGACGTCAACTAATGAATGCATCATGAAACGAGCTTCTCACGCATCCCATCCATCAGCGCTGACAGAAACACTGAAGACTAGAATACTTCATTCATACTGATTTATCAGAAGGATTTAAATATTATAAAGCACCATGGTATTACCATGTTTCTTGGACATGTATAAAATAGCACGCTACAGATGTGAAGTAATGAGGATGTATTTTCATTTAGACCTTAATGTGGGGAAAAACTAAGGGCCTTCGAGAGATAAATGAGACATACCTCAATTTGCAGGATTTCTTCTTCCTGTTGTTTTTTAAGGTCTGAAACAATGGCCTGATGCTCTGAAACACACACACACACAAAACACTGTAAAATCTATAGGAAATATGAGTCTGTGAATATGAAGCTTCAGAACAATCATTTTTATTATAATTCGAACACTAACTTCACGAACACTACTGAAGGTTGAATGCAGATGCTGTGCATTAGATAGTTTTGTAAAGAAACTGATATTTAGAAAATGTATTCTTTGATTTTCATAAGCATTTATATCAAAATGTTTACACACACACACACACACACACACACACACACATATATATATATATATATATATATATATAATATATATATAAAACCAACATGTGTTCTTGTCTTAGGGCAACTTTGATTAACTTTTTTGATCCACTTCAAATGTTGACTACTGTATACACATGCAACACACAACCATATACATACATATACATATATATATATATATATATATATACACACATACACACACACAACAAAAAATACATAAAATATATAAAAAATGTAATATAAAAAAAACACGCATCCACATGTTTGAGTAGAAATCTTCGTAAACTCACACAACATGGCACAAAGGATGAAAAACACGGTGTAATCATGCGAATGATGTGAATGTGATCAGTGATGGAGGGAATGATTAATCGCTGCTTGTTGCTAGGCAACATTAGTAAACAAACACTAGCACAAGGTGGAAAAAGCCTAGAATGAAAACAAGTGCTTTAATATTTCTGAAGCTCCGCTCAGCTCAGCCAGTCACAGAGTTGAAATGAGGCGAAGGCATTGAAGACACGGCGTGATTGAGTTACTCACCCTCCTGCTCCTCGACCGCTGCAAAGAAATAATCTCGTTTAGACATTCAGATCCCTGAACGGAGTTAAAATGACTTTCCAGACTCTTAAAAACACATGAATCCTGTTTCTGAAGATGCAGCGAATGTAGAAGATGGAGCTTGATTCACATGAGCTGAATGCTAGATGAACTGAAGATCGTCTCTCTATAACGCATTAATCTGAGAACTAACAGACAGCAGGATGAGCTTTTCGGTACGAATAGAGACCTGAAATCTTGAAAAAATACATCTCAAGAGTCAAGACTCAATATTATACCAGCCATGTTATTTTTCATTTTATATGAGGTTTGGGGTTTTGTTTTAAACCGTCATATGTGAGATTTTATCTATAAAAAACAATGAATTGCATTAAAGAGAAGAATATTTCTAACAATAACTAGTTGAATGCTTGAGTTCGATGAATGCAGTCAGAAATACACTGTGTGTGTGTGAGTGAGTGTGTGTGTGCATGCGTGCGTGCGTGTGCGAGAGTGAGTGAGTGAGTGAGTGAGTGAGTGAGTGAGTGAGTGTGTGCGTGCGAGAGTGAGTGAGTGAGTGAGTGAGTGAGTGTGTGCGTGCGTGCGAGAGTGAGTGAGTGAGTGAGTGAGTGAGTGAGTGAGTGAGTGAGTGAGTGTGTGT